CTTCCGGATAATCGTCGTCGAGAATCTTCTTCTTGTCCTTCTTCTTCGGTTTTTTCTTCTTTGCCGCTGTCAAGTCTAGCATCTCCTCTTCTTCGTCCGCCAGCGAGGGAATGTCCGGGGCAGTAGGAGCAACAGCAGGCTCTGGAGCAGCGACAGCTCTCGAAGAATCATCTTGAGCAGTACTAGGTACATCCCAATCTTGTGCAGCAACTTCCGGATAATCGTCGTCGAGAATCTTCTTCTTGTCCTTCTTCTTCGCTTTCTTCTTCTTCGCCGCTGTCAAGTCTAGCATCTCCTCTTCTTCGTCCACCAGCGAGGGAATGTCCGGGGCAGTAGAAGCAGGAGAAGGAGCAAGAGCATCCTCCTCCAAAATCTTGTCTTTCTTCTTCTTCGGCTTCTTCTTCTTCATGCCTGATAAATCCAGCTTCTCTTCTTCTTCCTCCTCGTCATCTCTATCTAAAGCTAATGCGGGAGCTACTAAATCATCCTTCTTCTTGTTTCTCTTGCTCTTGCTCAAATCCATCTCCATTACCAAATCCTCGTCGTTGCCGGCAGCTGCCACAACCGAGGCTCCCGTCGTCGATCCAGCAACAGCCTCACCATCACCGTTCAACTCCTCGTTCCAATAATCGTCCAGCGATGGCGCGACCTTCTTCCCCTTCTTTCCCATCGCGCGTGCGCGATGCCCTAATTTCCTAAACCCTAGCCCTAAACACTAAAGCCGACAGCGAGTAAAGGGCAAAAGCTCTCATTTCTTCTTTTTTAACTTCGTTTTTACCACATAGAATGTAAGCCCGGAGAAATAAACAAACCGCAAGAGATTTGGTGTTGTTGATTCGGGAGGCTCGTCACTGGCCATCCATCTCGACTAGCCCTTCTGCCAAGAACAAAAATTCTCTTTTTTAAGAACTATAGAAGATCAAACAAAGCCTTTGGAACTCGAGGAACACTTACTCTCGAGCTTTGCGCTCGTTGTAGTCGAGTATCTGGGAACGGAGGACGTGATTCGGCCGAAGAGTTCTATCCACATTGTCTGGAGGAGGAGCTGGAGGCAGCTCGATTCCAGTGATCGGACTAGTTTTGTGCTCCCTGCTCAAACAAAAAAAAACCACTTTGGTTAAAGCTCGCGACCCGAAACAAAAGAACTTACTTCAGCCATGCTTTGATCGTCGATCGATCATACGAGTGCCCGTCAGCAGTGGTCACCGGATCCACCATAATATCACGAGTTATGCAATCCAAAAACTCCGGAGGAACGTTGTCCACCTCGTAATCGTACTGCGGTAGCCAGCTGCTGGTGTCGAGCGAGGGTGACAGGCATATATCCTCTGGAAGCTGGATGCAAGGATCTCGCACGGTTTTCTGGGAGAACGGGCCAGGCCAGGCAAAGTCACTCGACACTGAACGTGAGACTGGCGAGAGCAGTGTCGGGGACATGACTGAATAAGTAGCATCGATGCTAGTCGGAGGTGGTAAGACGGTGGTCGATGGGAAGAACGAGGAGAAGAGGGAGGTGGAAGACGCGACTGGTTCGCTAGTCAGTGTGTTATGCTGTGGAGCAGAGATGGGAGGAAGTACTGGAGCGGTACCTGGGAAGTAAATGGGATCGGTGGACACTGGAGTCGAGCCGCTAGCTTCTTGACAGGGAGGGGCTGCTGTTATTTCGGGTGATAGAGGTTGCGGCTTCGAACTTGTGGTTGTAGCAGCAGCAGCACTCTTTGAGAAGAATGAGCCACCATTTGCCAGTGGTTTTGGAAAAGCCTGTAAGTTAAAGTTAGCAACATCCACTGGAGAAAGATAAGAAAGCACCTCCGAGGAAGCGCTGCAGGCTTCCACTTTGGTGTTGGCTGCTCCACACAAGGCTTTGGACCAGCTCATCGAAGTCCCGGGGGGCGCCACCTCCTTAGGCGGAGCCGCACTAGTCGACTTCGCTGGCGCGTTCGTCCTAATCTTTGTCGAACTTAAGTTCTGGTGCTTTCCGAGAGGGGTTCCACCAGAGCTGGAGCTTGCTCTAGAGTTCCTATAGTCGCTGCAGTAGCTGTAACCCCTCCTCCTGCCAAAATATCCCACCTTTTCAATCCTAGTCCGTGCCTCTTCTGTACTACTACCAGGACTACTACCACCAACACTCTTGTCGCTGGCCAACTCCTTCTCCTTGGGCGACGCCTTAGTTTTCTCCTGCCTCTTCTTCTCAGCCTCTCTATCCCTCCTCAACTCGCGTTCCCTCTCGGCAGCGGCTTCTCTCTTACTCGCATTCTCGGCCTCAAGTAGCTCAGCACGAAGTTTGCTCCTCTCGTCTACGAGTCTCTTAAACTCCTCCCTGTCCCTCCTTTCCTCCTCCTCCTTCTTCTCCCTCTCTAGTCTCGCTAGACGCTTCTCCTCCGCCTTCCTCCTCGCCCTTCCTCTCTTCTCCTCCGTCTCGTCTATCTCCTTCGCGTTCTGCTGTCGACCCTGCGAGCCATCCCTGGAGCCATCCTGCCGGCAAAACTTCTTCCACAACCAGGCCAAAAGCTTCCCTGCCAGCTCCACCCACCTATGCACCAGATGGAAAAACCTCTGCTTGTCCAGCTCCTCCCAGAGCGATCTCCAACACGTCGAGTGGTCGATCAACTTTAAGTCCCTGGGCCGAGGATCCCCGGGGACGTGTAGCTCGGGCTTCTTCGAGGCGTGGCCACAGTTGGTGCACATATACTTGCCACTCGCCTGTGGAGTCTGGTCGCGGTAAGGACTGTGGCAATTCCGGCAGTGCTTGGTCGCCTCCTTTCGCCACCTTGCGGCCTTCTGTGCCTCTATACGCTGCCTCTCGCGGAGAAGGATCGCTCTCCTATCCCGCCACTGCGAGAGATTGGGGACGACGAACTCGTACCAAAAGAGGCTGCTCAGAAGCACTCCCACGCATGCCAGCCTCGTGGACGTGATCTCGAAGCGGTAGCCGGGTGGCAGGAACTGCGAGAAGGCCCAAACGATGACGAAAGGGATGATCAACCATGGTAGCATGGCGACGATGCGTCGCGAAAACTTTGCTCCAGCGCACAGTATGCACATTCTTCAGCCCAATGCGACCTGCTGAAGCCCTTCTCTATGCTCTAATCTTTCTTTTCCAGCTACAACCTGCTATAGCAACCAAAGAACCAATCAGCCGATCTGGCAAAGAGAAGAGGCGCACAAAAAGAAATTGAGAAGAAAAGAAGCAAACTTGCAAGGGAGGCAATGCCGGTTCAAGCAGTTCAACACAGTAGCAAATCTTGGAGGGCGCCCATGGAATCCTTACCCTAATCCCTGGCGCTATTGCTGCTGCTGATGCTACCGCGCCCTGGAATCGACACCGGCATTTCCTATGGCAGCCCCAAGAGGGCCAAATCCTCGCCCTCGTCTAGCGCGCGCCGGAGGAAACGCCCATCGCCAAGCTCCAATGCCGCGGCGCCTTCATTAGGTCTTGGTCGTGGACAACAAGCATCATTTCTCCCCAAAGCCGAAAAAAAAAAACTTGTTAAAATGGACGGCTGCCATGGCTGACACGTGTATGCCATCAGGCCGTTAAAATCAAATAGGGGTAATTTTCCTCTGTTTCTAGGGCAAAAAGAGTGAAACGAGGAGGAGCTACCGATGGGTCGCCCGCCTCAAGCCGCCGGCGTGCCGGTGTTTCGATTTCTTCCACAGGAGGTATGGATCGATGGAAAGGATTCCTGCGCTGCATTCTATGGCGTGTGAATTCTTTGTAGGTCGCTCAAATGGAGAGGGCGCTGGAAGCTAACAACAACATAGCGTTGCCAAGGCCGGAATGTGACGACCTCGCGGAGGCTTTCACGTACGTATTTCCTCAAAGTTTGACATCGTTTTGCCTTCACTGAATTCTTCGTTCTTTTCTTTCGTTTTTTCTCTCAGCAATACTCCAGAACGGGCTGGGCAACTTCCAATAACAGGGAAACAGGTTCGTCCGGCTAGACGCTTTTCCTGTTTCTCTTCTCGTGTATACAAATAGTCCTGAAAGTTTGGCCTCTTCTGATAATTCTCCTCACCTTATTTGTGCTTCTTTTCCAGGTCTTGAATTGGTTCCAGAACAGGAGGCACTCGCAAAAGGCGAAGAAAATCCTCCAAATGCAGCAGCAACAGCAGCACCAAGACAGCGGTAGAGGCTTTACTCCCTCGCCTTTGGCGAACGCCGCAAGTCCCATGCAATACATGTACGCTCCGCCGCCAGGTTTGTTTCAAGTTCTCTTCCATCCCGCTTCTTACACGTCGGGATCTCACAGAAGTCGAGAAAGAGATGGACTTCGAAGCCAAATCTTCTCGTGACGGTGCCTGGTAAGAATGTATGAGTTTATAAACTCCGTTACTAAGACCTCTTCCAGGTATGATGTATCATTGTTTCTGGCACATCGTATAGAAGCCTCTGAGCACGTAAGGCAGAAAGTTTTACTCTTTTGCTCCACATTTTGTCTGTACTGATTGATCCAACTTCTCAGGAGGTCCGTGTTCGTTTTGTTGGGTTTGGATCCGAGGAAGACGAATGGGTGGACGTGAAGACATCAGTCCGGCAGCGCTCTATGCCGTGTGACGTTGTGGAGTGCATGGTTGTCCTTCCGGGAGATCTCATCTTATGCTTCCAGGTAGAGGAAATGCAAAAACTTTGTTTTCTTTGTTAACTTCTTCGTTTCTTAGCAGGAGGGAAACGAGCAAGCCTTGTACTACGATGCCACGGTTCTGGACATCCAGAGACGGAGGCACGACTTAAGAGGCTGCCGGTGTCGATTTTGGGTCCGCTATGATCACGATCAATCAGAGGTAACATCAATCTAAGCTCTCATTTACAATCATTGTATTTTTCTTTTCTTTTTTTCTCGCAGGAAGTTGTGCCACTTAAAAAGATTTGCAGGCGGCCAGAGACGGATTTACGAATCCCCAGGAACAAACAGCACTAAAGAAGCGTGTGAATATTTTTGTACGGATGACAATGAGATTAGGGTTCTTGGGTTTTACCTCCTTTTTCCTCTTTTTTCCCAAATGACGAGATTAGGGTTCTTTGATGTTTCTCCGTCGCCCAGGCTGGGCCGAGGAGTTTGCTGCTGCGTCGGCATCCACCTCCTCGCCGCAGCAATCGGCGTGCAATGTGGTGGCGGAGCTGGTGGAATCGCTGGTGGCGCAGCGGCAGCGGCGCGAGGTTGCGCTGCGGCTGCGCGAGGCGCTGCGTGATGTGAGGGCCAATTTCTCCTTCGCCAGGGTCAAGGGCCTTCGCCGTCTGCTCGCATTCCTGGTGCTCGCCGCTGCGTCCGAGAGGGGTGTGGAGCTCTTCCGGGAGAGCCAGAGCTATCAAGAACTCCAAGGTGAGAATGTGTTTGGAGTAAATTCGATGGCTCTGGTTGGTGGATGCTATGAATTTCTTTCCTTTCCTAGAATCGTTGTTTGCTTGCGTGGATCAACTTTCTCATGAGCGAAGGTTCTAAGATTCTTTTGTGATCTTTGGTGTAGTGATACCGGCGTTGTTCAAGCACACATTGGCACAGCAAAAATCACCAGCGAGCGCGCCACCGGTGTTTAACTCCTCGGAAGAAGCGGCAGAAGTCTCGAATCCTCCCACCCCTGCGGAGATCGTCCTCGCACTTCGCGTTCTTGAGGGATGCTGCCTCGTCGACAACTCGAGCAAAGCGGCCGCGGCTCACCACATGGCCGTCAAGGTGAGCGATGAAAAACACCAACTTTACCTGTTAAGAAGAGCTCCTTTTCTTGTTCCAGGAGCTGCTTGATCTGCTATCAGCGACTGGGATCCCCGAGCGCACGGCTTGCCTGGACGCGCTCTTGGCACTGTTGCTGGATTCTCCTGCCAATCAAAAAGTACGTTCTTCTCTAAGATTGGCACGCAAACAATCTCTTGTGTCGCAGGAATTCGAGTACTACCGAGGTGTTTCAAAGATCTGCGACTCGCTAAAGAATCGCCATGTCGACGTCGCACTCAGGTGATCCAAAAGCTTCCTCTCCTTCCTAAAACGCAACAATTTCTTGGCTGTTCCAGGACGAAATGCGCCGAGTTCTTGCTGCTGCTCGTGGGAGACATACTCCCCAAGACGGAGGCGCTGCAAGATCAACTCAAGGAGTGCATGGGCACCGAATGCTGCGTCATTCTCTGGGACGTTTACTCCAACCTCGAGCCTGCCTTTGCCGATCCAGAGAGGAAAAAGAGGTCGCTCAAATCGCTAGCGGAGAAGATGCTAAGCCTTGTAGATAGCTAAGCATCGATGCTCAAGCCATTCGTGTAAAATTGTGCGTAACACCCGAGGAGTCTGGGCTGGGAAACAACGATCAAATCTTTTGTCAGGTTTTAAAAAAACATAAAAATAAAAACGAATTAGTAAAATCTAGAAAACGTTTTTATAAACCTTATTGGGTTGGAGTATAACTCATACTTCGAATGCATACTCAATTAATCTCTACACTATTTAAATAAAAGGGCAAGTGTAAAGCTTGCCCTAGACAGATTTAGCTATCTCAAGAACCCTAAAAACAGGGGAGAGGAGCGATGGAGAACCTGGCGGCGTACGCGGTGATGGCATCGGCGTCGGTGGGGCTCTGCAAAGGTGAGTCGCTCGCCCACATTTGGATTGCCTTAGCGCCTACATTTCTTGGATCCAGAGCTCTTGTTTCCTTACGAGGACGATCAAGCGCCCCTGGGCAGCGATTCGAGCTCCTTCCTCCATAGCCGGCTGGCGGCGCTGCGGCGGCAGGAGGACGAGGACGACGACATGACGGTCGCGCTGCTGTCGACAATGTGGCAGGACGAGATCGTTGCCTGCCTCGCCGCTGACAACAACAGCAGCGGCCAGGACCACGATCTCCCTCCCGAGGAGGAGAAGATCCCCGAGAGGTCATCGCCATCGCCTCCTCCATCCTCGTCTCGCCTCAAGCGCTCCAGGCAGCAATCTTTGGCGCCTCGCGCTCCTTACGAGGACGAATTTGGGCTGCGATTGAATCTGGATAGCGGCAGCTATGCGCAGCAGCAGTTTGAGATCTATCCGGGATCCACGAGCGATCATCATCCCCGGCGCGTCCATCACTTCGACACCCACCACGAGGATCATCCTCACGCTCTTCGCCATCGCCACCACCAGAGCTTGTCCGGCGACCTGGCCGAGCATCCTTTCTTGACGCCACACCATTTCCCTGGCGCTCCGTCGCGGGATTGGCCCCAGAGCTCGCAAGACTAGCAAGCTCGCCAACTTTTTTCCACTGTTCCCCCATATACTTGAGATCACAGTCTCATCTTGGAAGTAATCTGGCCATCTTCTCATCTTTGCAAAGAAATAGAGGACTTCTTCCAAGTAAACGAAAGAGAGTCTGGCATCGATCTGACCACGGGTCTCTAGTAACGCGAAACAAAAGATATAAAACGCACAGCGCACCTTTGACTTGGAGCAAAAGCTCGAGAACCAAATATTCCTGGGCGATTGACAATGCGAGCCGGGCAAACCCAAAGTAGTTTAGTCCCCCCTCGCATTGCTTGCATCACCCAAGGGGTCACTTCGCAGCGATAGATTTTGCTAGAAGATGGATGTGGCACACTTATTAGAAAAGCCCAAAGTACGCATGCCTTCGCGCAAAGCTCTAGCAAGCGTTAAAAGATAATTGCTCACTCACCCACCCCTTACACGCATGCCAAGCGAATACGTCCACCTCCTCGAAAGCCGAGGAGAGTCGCTTAGAATAATCACTGGGGGGGGGAACCAGAGCATCTCCGCCTGCGAATGCAAACACAAAGGTAGAGTTAGAAGCCATTGCTTTTTTCCTTTTGTTTTTCTAAGGCTTTTTTGTTCTCTCTAGAAGGAGCCAGCAAGGAGCAGTCACCCATGCAAGCTTTGTTTCCAAGCACTTATTATGAGACCAAAAGGTCGGAGGAGAGAATATAGAACGCCAGGCAAAGCGGTACGATGATTTGGCATATCAGAACCTGTATGCCTGGAATGATAGCAGAAATCTAAGGTGCCATACCTTGACAAGGAGGAGGGAGTACTTCCACTCCTGGAGGAACAGGGAAGGCCCACGGATCTGAAAACCAAATTTGACAGCCGAACGAGACGACGAGCAGGATCAGGCAGGCGAGCTACAAGACAGAGGCCGAATAAACAACGAGGAAGAAAAGAGCATATATATATATCATGAAAAACTCACCCCGAGCGAGGAGATATGTTTTCTTTTCGTCGTCTCTTTTTCCCCTTTTTTTCTCTTTCGGGTTGAGTTGAGCACTTTAGTGGCCATAAGTAGCTGAGTTGTGTGCACTGTGCAGGCCAAAAGATTTTATCAGTCGGTGCTCTCCGCTGTATCTGGCTGGCTTGCCTCCTGGTAACGAGTGCTGCTTCTTCCAGTGACAAAGGCCATAATTCCTCAGGTGCTATTGAATTCCGATTCCAGGACGCTTGGCTTTGTCCACCCTGGGACGAAACATATCATGTTTGGTGTTGCGTGCTGCGCTGCAATCGATCGAAGAAAGATGCAGAGCTACTTACTGTAAGCGTCTCTCCAGTTAGCGTTCACGAACGAGCAAGACAGCTTACCTCGCAAACAAAAACTAAGTACCAACGCTGGTTTAATAAAACTGAGCAAACCTCTGTGTGCGTGTCTGCTGCTCCCGTAACAGCTTCGCCTACACATATTTTAATCCCGCGAGCCACTGCTTGCACTTCTGTGCGCTATTAAATTACGTCCCATGCGCTGTGTGCCGTGATGCCTTACAAAAAGAAAGCTCAACAAGAGAATGCGATTAGAAAACAGAGCCCCGCTTACCTGGTCCATGGATTGGATCGTCGCACAGCTCGAATGAAGCGCAAGTTAGACGCGCGCACACAAGGGAAAACAAAAAAAAAAAAAAACAACCATGACAATTACGAGCAGCAAAGGAAAAAAGAGAGGATGTATTGAGATCTCACTCACCAGCTAGAGAGAGAGAGAGAGTGTGTCTTTTCAGCCTGGACCGCGCTTTCAATCCACAGTGGAGCTCCCACTCTTTTTCTTCTTTTTGCTCTGATATTTGCATTACTGCTCTCGCTCGTCGGGACGGGACGACAAGACAATATATGTGTGTGTGCGCAAGTCGCACCTCCTTGACCTCTGCCTTGTTATTCCCCTCCATTTTGTTTTCCAGAAGTTGCTGCTCGTCTTGACTTGTTCGATCCTGCTCCCTACCTCGTTCTTCGCATATCATGTCAAGATGGAACGTCCTCTCCTCGTCTTCGCCATCGTCGTCTTGTTCGCATCTCACCTCCCGGCGATCCAACTTCGTCTCCGGGTCTGTCGCTGCATCACATGTCTTGACAGCCAGCACGCAATTCCGAGCATGATCAAGCCAGCACCACCCCTCCATGTCACCACCACTGTTCCCTGCTAAAACTCGTGCTTCTTCTTCCCCCAGTTTCTGCTCTCTCTCTCTCTCTCTCTCTCTCTCTCTCTCTCTCTCCTGAAAGAGCCACCAGCAGCAGTGAGTGAATGAGTGGCGGCCGAGCACGAGAAGGATCTTTGTGATGAGCCGCCTTGTGCTGCTCCTGCTCGTGATAGCGCTGCTTGTGCTTGTCCAGGTGAAAGGCGCACCCGAGAGTGAATTAGTGTCGAGATTGCCCGGGCAGCCGCACGTTTCGTTTAAGCAGTACGCCGGTTACGTGACTGTTGACAAGAACGCCGGCCGTGCCTTGTTCTACTACTTCGCAGAGGCCGAAACGAGAGCCAGCTCGCAGCCTTTGACCCTCTGGCTAAATGGAGGTAACCATGCCTGTCTAGAGTTTCTTCTGCATCGTTTCTGGAACAAAAAAGAAAGCAAAACAGCATTGTCTTGTCTCAAGTCTCGACTGAGAGAAGTTTAACTTGGTTCTTACTCGATCGGCAGGTCCTGGTTGTTCCTCGATTGGTGGAGGAGCATTTACGGAGCTTGGACCCTTCTATCCCAATGCTTCTGGACAAGGGCTGTTAGTAAATCGACGAGCGTGGAACAAAGGTGCAAACCTGCATTTTCGATCGGTGCTTTAACCCCTCTTTCTTCGATCCAGTGTCCAATATGCTCTTCCTCGAAGCGCCTGCTGGAGTCGGCTGGTCCTATTCCAACAAAAGTTCCGACTATGAGCAAGTCACGGACAGGATAACAGGTAACTAGAGCTACTTAGAACATCAGAAGCTTACCTCGTGGTTGCAGCCGTGGACACGCTAAATTTTCTTCTCGGTTGGATGGACAAGTTTCCCGAGTACCAGACGAGAGATTTCTACATCACCGGCGAGAGCTACGCAGGTCCAAAGCTTTCGCCCATTTCCGACGAGCGTTCTTACAAGAGCTCTCAGTTTCCTGGTTGATACAGGGCACTACGTTCCTCAGCTGGCCGAGTTGATCATCAAGCACAGCCAAGTCCCCGGAAACTACGCTTTCAGATTGAAAGGAGTGGCCGTAAGTTAGTGAATCTAGATAGGTACGAGCTGACCTTGACGGTTGAGTCGACTGGAGCAGATTGGCAATCCGCTCCTCAACTTGGCCGTGGATACATCAGCGATGTACGAGTACTTTTGGTCACACGGGCTCATCTCGGACGAAACATTCCAGGCGCTTTCCAACTCCTGCAAATTCGAAGACTATGAGCTCGGGCTCGCGGACCACAACGTTTCCAACGCATGCAACGACGGCATCCTCCAGTCCAACACTGAAGTTGGAAGATTCATCAACAATTACGACGTCATACTCGACGTCTGCCTTCCATCAATCTTCTTGCAGGAAGTGAGGCTCAAGCAACAGGTAAAAGCCTCTCTGTTCCTTCTAAAACGATGAAAGAACCGTGGAAACAGATGGCTCAGAAAAGCTATGGAGTGGACATATGCATCGACAAGGAGAGGGACGTCTACTTCAACCTTCCAGAGGTGCAAAGAGAACTCCACGCGAACACAACTGGACTTCCATACTCGTGGAGTATGTGCACAGGGTAATCAAAAGAACAACGCACCAAAGTTTCGAAACTTAACGAAAAGACTTTTGCCATTTCCCGTGAAACAGGCCTGTGGACTACGCAATGCAAGACGGAAGCACAAACATGGTACCTCTTCTTGGAGACATCCTCAAAGCGGGACTCCGCGTTTGGATCTTCAGGTACGTAAGTGGAGCTAAAAAAGTTCTTCCCATTCAGAAAACGAAAGAGTTTGAAGCTTACCGCGTGTCCTTTGTGACAGTGGAGACCAGGACTCAGTAGTCCCTTTGACAGGGACGAGATCACTCATTGGAGGCCTGGCAAAATCGCTGGGAATGCAAACCACACAACCATACACGGCATGGTACCAAGGTGGTCAGGTATACAAAACCGTAGAGATCGATGAAAGAAAAGGAAAGAGGAGCAGAAACTGAAAAATTCCCTTGCAGGTAGCTGGATGGACTCAAAGCTATGGCAACTTGACATACGCGACAATACGAGGAGCGGCCCATATGGTTCCCTATGCCCAGCCGGAGCGCGCCTTGCTGCTCTTTCGGTCCTTCATCCGGGGAAATGCGCTGCCGATCAAGAGCGCCTAGAATCACACACACACCGCATTCTTTCCAAAATGTACCTAAAGAGAATACAGAAAAAGACCTACCAGAACCCAAATTTTAAGCGAGCTGGTCCCATGGTGTAGTGGTTATCACGTCTGCTTTACACGCAGAAGGCCGCGAGTTCGAACCTCGCTGGGGCCATTTTTTATTTACTTGAGATGATAATAGATAAATTACTGACACAGCACATTTTATTTTGATTTTTGCAATTTTGTACTTGTTTATCTAAATGATATACTAAACAACAACTTGGCATCTTTCCACAAGAATATCAGTGACACTATAACTAGCTTCTTATTAATTCATATATGCATGATAAATTCAAAGCAAACCAAGCTAACATAGCAAATTTTTATTTTTGCAATTTTGTACTTGTTTAACTTGTATATATATATATGTGAGGGCTAAGTGTACGACTACGATGCCATATACTAATATTAGCATAGTGGGATTTTAGTAGCCGTCGGATTGGTTTCAATCTGGACCATTCGCTCCTGTATATAAGCTAGGGTTTTTGGGCTAATTAATATGCATATTTTTTATATTCCCTTTTCATATTCCAAGCACTCACATTGATGGAGATGAGGGGCACTTTTGATTGTCCCTGAGGAGTGCTTGGATTTAGGATTTTGGTTTAAATTTAACTTTTGCATTGTTTAGATCTAGCTTTTTCTATTTCCTTTCTTTTGTTCTTTTCTTTCAGGATTTTTGTTTAGATCTAGTTTTTTCCATTGTCTAGATCTTTCTAGCTTTTTGTCATTTCACTTTTTTTGCTTTTTCTTTTTCATTCGTCTCCATGGCAGATTAGCAATCTCCTCCTTTGACCTCTAAAGCAGCAGTTGGTACAATTGTTTGATGCTATGTGCTTGCAATTGAACAACCAAACTTAGTTGATAGTGGCATTTACGGCATATGGTATAACTCCTCCTGCTTTTGGTGCCAATCCTCGTGTTCAGCTAAAGTTCTTTCGTGGGAATCCTAGAGATGATGTGTACCATTGGTTCGATCACTTCACGGTAATTGCCACATATCATTCTTGGGATGATGCTCAACATTTGCATGAATTTCCCACGTGTCTCTAAGGGATAATGTTGCAATGGTACAATAGTTTGGGCGCAGCCACTCGTGGGGATTGGAGTGTTCTTCCAGATGTCTTCAAACACGCCTTCAGACATGCCGATGATTGTGATGATGCCTTCCAACAAATGCATTGTCTTCGCCAAGGGCCATCCGAGTCGGTGATGCAATTTGGCGTTCGTTTTCGAAGTCTTTTGCTTTATGCGGAGCCAAATATGTTGGAGCGGATCAAGCTAGGAATGTTGTGGCCAGCACTTCGTCAAGATCTTGTCGGACTTGTGCATGCATTTGCTCCTGTCGCGAATGTGACTTCAGGTATCGAAAGTTACCTGTCAGCTAGTCCTTTCGGATATTCTTACCTTACTGCCACGACGGCAGGAGGTCGGTATTGCTGGACCCTTTATCAATCCCTCTTGTGCTAGTGGAGTTAACTGGGCATTTCGAGTATACTTAGACCGGACGAGCATAAGGATGGAATTCCTACGTGTTATTAGCTAAGCATACTTAGCCCGGTAAGGAGTTCCCGTCTCGTTTTGTCTTGCACTTGCTAGTGACAAGAACTCTCGAGTATTGAGATTGGTCCCTCAATATCGCTGGATGATAGCTTACCGTGTTTGCCAAACACCCTCGCTATCATGCCCTTTGTGTTACTCTCATTTCGGTCCCAAATGCTATTTATGGAAAGTGTCCAGATTTCTCATTTGGCATATTTACGGAATGTAGAGATCGGCCTGAACACAATGGTGTTCGTCCCGTGTCCAAATTCGCAATCTAGGGACATTCCATATTTAGTAAGTTTTGAGCTTGTCCCAGAGACTAACTCCAGATACTAAGGGAGGCTTGGGGTGAAAGCCCAAAGCGTGTGTTCCTGTGAGACACAAAATCCCTAGGCCCCAAAGTGGAGCCAGAAAGGGTGCCACGTGGTAGTGGCTGAAGCGAGAGCCAAACGAGCGTAACACGTTTGGACCAAAAGCTCCGACTTGAAAAGTCAAGAGCGGGAGTGGAACTCCCAACGAAGTGCTCGAGGAACGAGCACGAAGCGAGCAAAAAGCGAGGCTCCAAAAAGGGACCCAAAAGGACCAACACATGACACGTGGAAGTGTCTGAGATGGACTCGAGTTGGAGTCCGAAGTGGAGTCCGAGATGGACTCGAGTTGGAGTCCGAAGTGGAGTCCGAGATGGACCCGAGTTGGAGTCTGAAGTGGAGTCCGAGATGGACCTGAGTTGGAGTCCGAAGTGGAGTCCGAGGTGGACCCGAGATGGACCCGAAACGGGGTCCGAGATGGAGTCCGAGATGGACCCGAAATGGAGTCCGAGATGGACACAAGATGGACCCGAAATGGAGTCCGAGATGGAGTCCGAGATGGAGTCCGAGGTGGACCCGAGATGGACCCGAAATGGAGTCCGAGATGGAGTCCGAGATGGACCCGAAATGGAGTCCGAGATGGAGTCCGAGATGGACCCGAGATGGAGTCCGAGATGGACCCGAAATGGAGTCCGAGATGGACCCGAGATGGAGTCCGAGATGGACCCGAGATGGAGTCCGAGATGGAGTCCGAGATGGAGTCCGAGACCGGGACCGAGACCGAGACCGAGATCGGGACCGAGAACGAGACTGAGGCCGAGGCCGAGACCGAGCCCGAGCCCGAGTCCAAGTCCGAGTCCGAGTCCGAGTCCGAGTTCGAGTCTGAGAGGGTGAAAGCCCAAAGCGTTCATCTCCCAGACCCTGGGGGGTTTGGTGAGCTCCAAAAGTATAGTAGGGGGAGGACTGCAGTGGAGCCAGTTTGGCCAGGAAAGGCCAGTTTGGCCCAGGAAGGCCGGACCCAGTGTTGGGTGATGAGCTGTCCACTGGGAAGTCCAAGACTAGAGTGAACACAGACCGACAAGCGGGGTAGCTTGGTGAAGTGTTCAAGAGCCGGCTCTAGTTCCCCCGGGAGATCGACTGGCCGATGCTCCCAGTCCAAGTGTGGGTGGCACTACCTACTTGGATACCTGGTGTGGCTCAACGGAACCCGCTCTAAGCCCCTGGCTAGAGCACCCAAGGGCAGAAGGTGAGGAGAGTACCCAGGTGGCTCGCGTAAGGCCACGGTGTTCCGAAATGTTGTCCCAAAGGCCCAGACTGTGGAAAGGAAGAGGAGCAGTCCTCTGGGGTAGTGACCAAGGACACAGTCGTGTGGTGAAGAAGTCCCAGAGGACCGTGGGACTTAGTGGTCGGGCCTGTGGGTCTCGATCCAGTGGCAGTGTTGGCAAACACGGCCAGGGGCAGAAAGGGACTTAATGGGGACTGACAGAGGGATATTGGGGAAGGCTATTCCCCTTGTCGGTGGGCATCCTAAGGATGCTAAGGAGTGGATCTGAGATGACCACTCACGGATGGTTTGCCTAGTCTTGGAGAGCCAAAATGGTGATGCAAGTGGTATTGGACTACCAGTGTGGCAAAGGTGATCGGGCATGGCCTTAGCGTAACGGGCTGCTATGTCAGTGGTACCTTTGAGTGTCGGTCATGGGATCGGACACGTGGAGCACTTGGACCAAGTGCAAATGTTGAGTGGCATGGATGCCATTCTCGGGGCTAGCAAGTCCCAAGTCCTGGATTGGACTTATAGAGGTTGCGAATGAGACTCCTCCAAGTGGTCAGAGGTGTGGTTAAGTGACTAAAGTAGAATGGAAAATTTAGTCGTTTACAATTTGGTATCGGAGCTGTTCCTTAGTCCGACTTTTATTAGTGCTCAAGTATATCACCTCTAGTGTTGGCATTGGAAGGTCCAAGGAGTGGGCCTATCCTTGAGGAGTAGCAAGTCGGGAAGACATGGCTCTCCATTACAGTTCATGTGTAAACTTGTAGACGAGGTGGTGGATAGAAAAGGGCCAATAATGGAATGACTTTGGGATCTTGGGAACAATGCAAGGTTTTCCTCATTGAGTTGAGGATGTGATCCGGATGAGCATTTGTCTCAGCAAATTGGCTAAGGTTGTTGTGGTAAACAACTAAAGTTGGGATCACGGGAAAGATAGAGACTCCAAAACAATAAAGGAGTCACAAGATTATCCTCATATAGTTGAGGTTGGTGCTCATGAATGTGAGACCAGAGGTAATGACCATGGGAGGTCAAATACGGAAGAGGACTCAAGTCCTTGAAATGGTAGCCGGGGCTACCTTTAATAAATGTTGGAACAACCCAAGGAGTTGGGGGGTGTACTTAGAGATGAGTGGTATTCTCATCGCATGGACAAGTAGTCCTAAGGGGCAAAAGTTGCCCCCAGAGAACAAAATCAAGTGTCGGAGTAACACTTGTGAAAATAGTCCTTTTGAGTAGGACAGGAATGCAAGAAGTGTATTCCAGTGAGCTAGTGCCTCACAAGTAAGACCTTACGGGTCTGTGGATTAACCAAGTCCAAAACTGTTGGATGACTCAAGTAGAGTCCAGGGATGGTCCTAAAAGTACTGATGGAAGCATTTGGACTGAGGTGTGTTATACCCCACAAAGGATGGGGGGGGATCATAGGATCCAAGGATGAGAATAGAGGGTATCTCATCGATGGCAAAATGTGCCATGCTAAAGTTATGGGAAAGGTGTTCCCAGAAGAAAACAACTTTGACACAAAGTTGTGTGTGACCTCTATGGTGCAGTGCTAACAGATGGTTGGCATGAGAAAGGGCGGTGTTGGTCTTGGCAAAGACTTAGACACAAATGGAAAGTGTCATAGAGGTAGGCTCGTGGAGCCGATGGTGTGGAGACACCAAATGTGCCAAGGTGTGATACCTTGAGGCTATGTTGGTGGGTTCATGAGAACCCCTTGCCAAAGGAATCCCAATGGAAATGGGAATGGCATAGCCTAAGCTGCAGAGCATGCAGTTGGAGTGTGGTGACCCAGATAATGATGGAGGTGTGAAAGCACCAAGCAATGAGTTGTAGGACTTGACAACTATGAGGCAACTAAGCAAGGGTGCAAAATAACTAGTTAAACAGG